TGTGTGGATATACCAACACTACATTCAATTTACCAACCTCCCTCTTTGTGGGGAGGGAGGAGAGTACTGAAGACCCTGATGTTCCCACTGAAAAAATAACCCTAAGCTAAGGGCACTCCCTATGGATCCTGGGTCAGGGAGTCATTTCCACGGAGCCATTTTTATTTGGCTAATTAAACATTCCTCCTAATAGAGCTTTGGACTTGTGGTGTGTTTTTCTGTGTTTATCCATGCCCAACTGGGAGATAGTCCCTTTTTTTAAAAAAATTCTTTATTGTTTAAAGTAGTACATGAGTCTCCTTTTCCCCCATTGACCTCTCCCCCGCCATCCCCACCCCCAAGCACAAGCCCTCACCCCCGTACTGTGTCCATCGGTTTTGCTCATATGCATGCATACAAGTCTTTTGGTTGATCTTACCCTCTCACTGCTCCCCCAGCCCCCGCCTGCCCTCATAGGTTGTACAGTTTGTTCGATGCTTCTATGACTCTGGTTCTGTTTTTGTTCATCAGTTTATGTTGTTCATTATATTCCTCTTTTTCTTTTCTTTTTTTGGCTGTCTCTTTCTGATTTGGTATTAATTCCACTACCAACATCTTGACTGATTCACTTATTTATTCAACAAATATTTATCATGCAGCTACTATGTGACAAGCAAAGAGACAGGCAATAGGGATCAAAGGGAGAAACCACCAGATATGGAGCTTGGAGGATAGTGAGGAAACAAACATTAAAAAGTTGAAGGCCCTGGCATTTGTTGGTTAGAGTGTCATCCTGATATGCCAAGGTTGTAGGTTTGATCCCTGGTTAGGGCATATGTAAGAATCAACCAATGGCCCTAGCCAGTTTGCCTTAATGGATAAAGCATCGGACTGTGTACTGAAGGGTCCTAGGTTTGATTCCGGTCAAGGGCACATGCCCAGGTTTCGGGCTCCATCCACAGTAGGGGGTGTACAGGAGGCAGCTGATCAATGATTCTCTCTCATCATTGATGTTTCTCTCTCTCTCTCCCTCTCCCTTCCTCTCTGAAATAAAAAATCTATTTAAAACACGAATGCATAAATAAGTGGAACAACAAATCAATGTTTCTCCCTTCTCTCTGTCTCTAAAATCAATTTTAAAAACTTTATTAAGAAGTATATAAATACAAGATGTGGTGGGTACTATGAGGGAATGGATTGAGATGCAATAATAGGAGAGACCTTCTATTGATGGGGGAGTGAGGGAAGGCATCTCTGAGGTTACATTTAAGCCTGGACTTGAAATATAAGAGCTTACCAGGCAAACTCTGAGGGGTTCCAGGCAGGGGGAACAGCATGGACAAAGACTCTGAGGCAGCACAGAGCTGATTATGATCCATGAGCTCAAAGGCCAGTGTAGAATCAAGTAAAGGGAAGAGTATGGGAACAGAGATCAGCCAGCCAGCACTGGGTCATATGAAACAGAAAAAAACATTGATTTGTTGTTCCACTTATTTATGCATTCTTTTTTTAAAATATATTTTTTATTTCAGAGAGGAAGGGAGAGGGAGAGGGTTTGGCTCAGTGGCTAGAGCTTTGGCCCACAGACTGAAGGGTCCTGGATTCTATTCTGGTCAAGAGCATATACCTTGGTTGTAGGCTCAATCCCCAGCCCAGGTCAGGGCGTGTGCGGGAGGCAGCCAATCAATGTGTCTCTCTCACATCGATGTTTCTCTCTGTGTGTCTCTCCTTCTCTCTTCCACTGTTTCTAAAGATCAATGGGAAAAGATCCTCAGGTGAGGATTAACAACAACAACAAAAACAACAAAATCCTCGGGTGAGGGTTAACACACACACACACACACACACACACACACACACACACACACAGGCCCTAGGCACAGTTCATGGCCTCCAGGGGTGAGTCCCGCAAGTCTACACTTCTTCTCAAGCCTCTTGAGAGGGCAGGATCCTCAACTATTCATCCTCGTGCTCCCAGAGCCAGGCACCCAGTGTACTGTGTCTGATAAACACATCTGTGGAGTGATCGAAAGAATGGAGGTGGGG